GAACTCACTGACGAGGGTACATTCAAGTCTATACAAGCGCACACACACGTACGAGCAAGCAAGCATGCATTTTGAATGTGCCTGATGCCTCTGCTTATACAAGAATATGCTCGCACACACACATAATTGCACATATACACTTGAACAAGATAGGTTAAATTTGCAGACTTCGACTCAAGCCGGGGCCAGGCGAATGCCACCACCAGCTCCCGTTGCAGTATCGATTAGAACAGCGAAGGGTGCCGGATGCACAACTGACCCCCACCAAACAGTGGGTATTTGTTCTCCATCCATTTGTAAGTCTGCTCGTTGGTCTGTCTGCCGGTCTATCTGGTAGTCTGTCTACTGGTCTGTCGGGCCAGCAGCTTCGGCGGCGAGTCGGTCTCAAGACGACCCGAAGCGAAAGATGACGAAGATGAGGGCTGTTCACATTGCCGTTACGGCGTGAGGCGGCAAATCATCCGGAGAGGATATTGAAATAAGACTGAAGAAACAAGGCCCTCTGTGAAATCCATACACTTAGTCAGGCAATTGGCCCTGCGGCGGCGTGGTTTGAGTCGGCTCTGTCCGCGTAACTAGACTCGATTGGATTGAGAGGAGCACAAGAAGCCACCATTGCTGGGATGTGGATTCGGCACCTTCCGGCCTGGGAAACAGGCCTCCCACTATGGTCGATTTGATCTGTCGCCTTGTTGACGGCCCAGGGCCAACAGCTATGGGATGGGCTTTTCGAATCGCCTCCGCCTAACAGAGTGATCTGCCTCGCCAGAGTGATTTACGACAGTGAAGACCATGCGACGGGGAATATGGCTTTTGTTCCAAGCCGCAGAAGCAGGACCTCATACTTTGCCATGGCTTTGTTGTATACTGTTGCTGATGTTTGGGAAAGAGGTCTCAGGCGGTCAAGGGAACCTGTTCTTGGCCAAAGGTTTGCTTAAACTGCACATTATTGAGTTAAACTATGATTGAAGTCACTCTGAGGGTGAAACAGGCTCTTTTATATAGGCACACGAAATTACTTTTGAGACAAATCCAGTCGCTTGTATTCACCTTAAGATTCTGTAGTTAAGACAAGCCAATATTCATTAGGTCAACTAAAAAATTAAGTGGGACTGCATTCGGGATTGCCTGGCTTCCCTCGAGTTTAAATGCCGTTGACTTTTGGTCAGCAAAAGACTTGCGCCTCTTCACATGATTCGGTTGATGATATTCATGCTCATCATTATTTGCACTGGAATTTTGATGATCGAAATTACTTTCCGGCAAACTTTACACAAGTGGCAAGAGAAAGTTAGGTTCAGCTTGGAGACAACTCTTGTAAGGTGTCCAGGATATTAAGGATACTGCTCCGGACGCTGGATATGGATTTGCTGTAAGTTTAGATATGCATAATATATTATTATTATTATCGCCTTTACTTGTCTGCTTGACAAGATTTCGCTTCTTGCTAACAGTGTCAGTTCTTGCTGCCGATGCCGACTATGATGCTTGCAATGTGTCTTGTCGACGCCAAGTCAACATTCTAAAGATAAAAATTATCATGGCTCCCGTTACATAGGATTCAGGACTGGGTACATTCTACAAGGTTTCAAGTTGAGCAAACGAGGTGATAACAATTTAAGGCAGCTAAAAGATATTGTAATCAGGCCTAAGGCCGCATCTTTTCTGCATATTTATTAGTAGTTTAAGTCATTTTGAGATCTGATATTTTATTTCCCTATATCTTGTCAACAGCCATGCCGATAGGGTTTTCTCCTACTGAATCTCTCCATCCCCTAAACTTTTACTTAAAGCTGAACGATTAAGAAAATAAAAGTGACTATGCCACAGAACATCACCCTCATATAAACAGAGGCATTTCTATGATATATATATATATATATATATATATATATATAATTAAGCGCTCACTTTGTACACTCTTTAACATATAAATGCTCACACTGCTTAAAATACAGACAATATAGAATACGATCAGTCTCCTATCGTTGTTTAACTGCCTTTTATCACATCTGAAAGCTGTAAATTAAAAGATCCTTAAGTTGTTCCTTCAATGCATGTTGCTTCAATACTGGTATTGAGTCTGATTCTGGTTATTAATAAATTTGCTCCTAAGGCTTGATGCAGGGAAGCTAATAAAAATAGTAAATGTCACGATCTATTTTGGAGAAGGGGTGTGTTGATAGCTAAGCTGTAGTTCAAATAACGCGGTAGGTAGAAGAATGCCTGGATATACACGAAAATCAAAGATGGCCAGAAGAGCTTCAAAATGAGACATTCTTGCCAGCAGATTCTCTGAAATGCATCAGAATATACTTTGAACTTCTCTTCATCCGAAACCCCACAAAGCCTTTGCTCAATTACTAAACTCCAGGCTTTTATAAATGCATGTGGTGAAAGTGTTAGATACACGAAGTGATTTATTTGAATTTGTTCGGAAAATACCAAAAGAGCATGGAAATACCGACAAATTGTGGCGATCCCTGGAGGTGGTGATCAGAGCCTTTGCAAAATAAGCCATGGTAACATCTCAGCAGCAAATATATGACTTTTGATACAACGTCAAAACTCTGATTGCCTCAGAAAGATTGGCAATTTTTATCCCTATCTGAAACTTCTCCCTATAATAAGCTTTTGGTGGAGGAAAATTATAGTGAACCTAAGGAATATACTGATAAAGACAGAACGAAAAGCTCCTACTGGACACAACATAGCCCACTGGAAATTAATATAAAGAAATAGTATGTATCTATAATTTA